TTAGGCCGTAGCACATATTTACATTTAAAAATGCATACTGAAGCTATAGGAAATAAAAATTTGTGTCTCTTTTATAATTTCTATACTCAGGTTACATGATACAATAAATCTGAGAATAAAGGGACTCTTGCATTCTACTTTTTTTGCAGACAGTATGGTCTGATACAAAGATTTTTCACTTTTTAGTGAAAAACTCGCATGCAATTTTAGCCTCAGCAGGCTTATATTTGAACCACTTGCTATTTAACATAAGAAAAGAAAGATACTATGTGAAATGAAACAGGTACAAAAGACATTGTGAAGTGCTTTTAATACAAATTTAGTGAAATCTTTATTATGGACTTCAACTTTTATGTACCTAGGTCCTCACATTTAACTTGATCCAAACAGGCCGTTACACGAGGGTCATTTATACAACACATTTTGCACATATTGTCTGAGATAATCTTATTTTCTGTAGATTCAGAGTTCACAAATGAGTAATACAACTGGGTTAAAGCATAGAAACACAAATATTGACACAGGAAAACCTGTCACATAGAAAGTCAGAATGCCATTTATGCATCAAAATTGAAAAAGCTTTGAAATGCTTATTTTGACCATATAATGCCAAAATGGGTAATTTTTGCAGAATTTCTATCAAATAAAAGTTTAAATCCTTTAGTTTCATGCTATCTGACAAATTGACACCATTAAATCATTCAGGGAAGTTGCCAAAGTACAGATTCTATATTTACTGATTTCGCCTCTTAGGTCCGAGTACACAGTTATTTCGTAGTGCATTTCTTTTAGACAATAAATGAAAATAAAAAAAATCCCACCTGCGCTTTCTCAATAATATTTTTACAGTGTGTTGTACTACTTTTGGGACAAATTATATCAAAATTATAGAAAACTTCATCGGCTCTAACTCAAAATATGGACAATTCTATGTTAAGGGGGTCTTGAAATCTTTTGACAGCTTCCGAAGTGCTAATTTTTAACCTTTTTCAGCTGGACCAAATCACTACTTTACTTTACAATTCATGACCCAAATTTTTTTACAGTGTAATTTCATCCCCCTACTTGCTATTTGAGGCATAAAACATGAAGGAATACATTTGGAAGGGGAATTAAAAAAATTGGCAAGCAACACACTGTCCACACTAGGGACTTTATTCGTGGACAACGAAAATCAAAGGACGATAACTGTGTACTCGGACCTAATAGGATAGAAAAATTTGACCAATCTTAATAAAACTTGGTATGACTAAAGCTTAATAAATTATGAGACTGCTGACAAAGTTTCATGGCAATAGGATATATATTATAGACAATATGATAAATTCTATATTCAACTTCGCGTGTTAAATTTTGACGTTTAAATTGAAAAATTTCAACTATCGACATTTGGGGCTTTAAAAATTAAAATATTGCAAAAAATTACATTTTAAAGGGCTTTATATATGACATATTATGTATTTAAAGCAATAGAATACTCATTTGATTTATCAGACTTATCACAATTATTTAAAAGTCAAATTTATATGAGCCTGTGCCAAAAAATGGAGGTTTTCCAATGAAGGGGGGCCTTACATGAAGATGTATTATTTTCCAGCAATTTTAAATTTGTGGAGTTTTTTGGTTATAAATAATCCTTACATATGTATTAAATGTACTTTAAATGGAAAGAAAAATTACAAATAGCATACCATATTAGTATAAAAGGGTCTTAAGCCAAGTAAGACTGAAAATAATTTAGGGTCAATTTAGGCCGTAGCACATATTTACATTTAAAAATGCATACTGAAGCTATAGGAAATAAAAATTTGTGTCTCTTTTATAATTTCTATACTCAGGTTACATGATACAATAAATCTGAGAATAAAGGGACTCTTGCATTCTACTTTTTTTGCAGACAGTATGGTCTGATACAAAGATTTTTCACTTTTTAGTGAAAAACTCGCATGCAATTTTAGCCTCAGCAGGCTTATATTTGAACCACTTGCTATTTAACATAAGAAAAGAAAGATACTATGTGAAATGAAACAGGTACAAAAGACATTGTGAAGTGCTTTTAATACAAATTTAGTGAAATCTTTATTATGGACTTCAACTTTTATGTACCTAGGTCCTCACATTTAACTTGATCCAAACAGGCCGTTACACGAGGGTCATTTATACAACACATTTTGCACATATTGTCTGAGATAATCTTATTTTCTGTAGATTCAGAGTTCACAAATGAGTAATACAACTGGGTTAAAGCATAGAAACACAAATATTGACACAGGAAAACCTGTCACATAGAAAGTCAGAATGCCATTTATGCATCAAAATTGAAAAAGCTTTGAAATGCTTATTTTGACCATATAATGCCAAAATGGGTAATTTTTGCAGAATTTCTATCAAATAAAAGTTTAAATCCTTTAGTTTCATGCTATCTGACAAATTGACACCATTAAATCATTCAGGGAAGTTGCCAAAGTACAGATTCTATATTTACTGATTTCGCCTCTTAGGTCCGAGTACACAGTTATTTCGTAGTGCATTTCTTTTAGACAATAAATGAAAATAAAAAAAATCCCACCTGCGCTTTCTCAATAATATTTTTACAGTGTGTTGTACTACTTTTGGGACAAATTATATCAAAATTATAGAAAACTTCATCGGCTCTAACTCAAAATATGGACAATTCTATGTTAAGGGGGTCTTGAAATCTTTTGACAGCTTCCGAAGTGCTAATTTTTAACCTTTTTCAGCTGGACCAAATCACTACTTTACTTTACAATTCATGACCCAAATTTTTTTACAGTGTAATTTCATCCCCCTACTTGCTATTTGAGGCATAAAACATGAAGGAATACATTTGGAAGGGGTACTAAAAAAATTGGCAAGCAACACACTGTCCACACTAGGGACTTTATTCGTGGACAACGAAAATCAAAGGACGATAACTGTGTACTCGGACCATGTACCGTGTTCGCACGGAATTTTGTGAAGCTTAGGTATTCAATACAAACAAGGTAAGTCATCAAATTTGCTGTTCAATGTAATGTTCATTGAAGCCATGAAGGACTTATGATTCGCCAAAATCCCATCCTTGTCAAATGATATGTTGTTGCATAAGTGCTCATTTATTCCTAATTATTTTACAAGACACTCGTAGTAGTACGATTTACATACAAAGACAATATTATTTGAAGCTTTGTCCGCAGGAACAACAACATATCTATTGCGAAGAGATGACAGACATTTCACAGCTTCTTTGTCTCTGAAAAACGAACTTTGGTCGATCATTCACACAGTTTTTCAACTTATGAATTCGACGTTTTATCAGGAACCTGATTGTTTTGACCCATTCTGAATAAGTGTCCAGTTCAACTTCTTCTCGTTTAGTCCATGCTCTGGCGTAGTCCTCAATGAAATCCATAACTATTTTGAAGTTATTGTTCCAATTGATGTGTTGGGGTTTTCTGAACTTAGGACCATGGTATATCACCTTTCAGAGATGTTCATGTTGAATTATGTTATGTTATGATCCCCAGTAATAACATGATCAGAAGGGCTGTTAATATAAGGCGAATAGAAACAGTCACATTTCAGAGGTTTTATTTTATGTACTCTTCTTAATCAAGATCCTGCAATGCTTGCTTATAGTTAAATACTTTAGGTGCAATGGTTTTGGTGTAACTGTACGATACAATAGGAACAAACTAATTTTGAAAATAAAGTGGAATTTTAGATGTTACCTCCTTGTGATGGAGAACGTTGCTGATGTTGATTGCATCAATTCCTTTACTAGAAAACTGAACTGAACGGAATTTCCTCTTTTCATCATGTAAAGGTTTCGATCTTACTGGTTTAAAAAGACGGAACAGAGCTACATCACAAATTATACTGACCAGTCTGTATATTGGCGAAAATGTATTTATGCATCCCTTGTCAAGTGCATAATCTCTCAAACATTTTAGAAAATTAACAGGCAGTGAATAAAGAATAGTTCTAATATAGTAATGTAATCCTAGAGGATGATGAAGATGTGAAAGAAGGTCATCAAAACACCCGGAGGGCGATCTAGATTTGGAAGACTTTTTTTACATTGGGCAGATGGTAATGTTTTTGCCCATGACTACGCTGGTGTCTTAAAGCGGTATTGAATAAGCTCATTACATTCACATCACTGCAGACTGGACTTGACAAACTTCCTGCTCCTTTTATGCTTTCATTGCAACCATATGGCAATGCAGTACAAAAAACTCTTATAATTAAAAACTGAATGTGTACAATTTTATTTAAGCATGAGCAATGATGTAGGAGATTTTTTTATAGACGAATAGATAAACAGGTGATAACTTCATACATTATTCGTTATTTTTTGTACATGATTTTGTAGGTTTTCATTCGACTTATGATTTTTGATTGCATGTCCTCTTCTTAAACTTGTACCCCTTTTTTCCTATTCTTCCAACCACTTTTTCTTTGGCATTAGAACAAAGGAAACAATAAGATGTTAAATCTAGTAAAGTGGAAGTGATAACTGCAGCACAAAACTAAAATAATTTCAAGTTTCAAGTTTAGATGACTTGTACTTAAATACAACATAAGATACCGAATACGTCTCGAGTATATTTGCACATTTGTAGTAAAACAGAAAAACTAGCCAACTGAATAAAGTAAAGGAAACAGATAAAATTCGAACGATTAAATGAAATGATAAATGTACATAATATCACCTAAATTTTATTGTAATTCTAACAATGTACATGTATTTGCAACTTAAAAGGAAAACGCATGATCTAACGACCGATATGTCTTACGTTTCAGGACAGGTGTCGCTGATAGCCATACAATTCTATCACATTATTCGCGATAACAGGACAGCAGAAAAGTTAAGTCGTGATGCGATAAATATGAACGCACTTGCTGATTGGTAGCCTCCGCTTACTTCCGGTGATAACTGGAAAATAATCAGACGGCAATAAAAACAGTAAATTAATGCTAAACAAATGCGGGACGAACAAACTGAAAGAACAAACAGAATGATTTTTTGGATTACCATCTCAATAGCAATTACTTCTATTTGTGAGTATTGTTTTGTTAAAACTCCTTATGTGTTACATAATGATTTAAGATTATATTTAATAGTGCACCTATTCTGTTTCTATAATTAACTTTCATGTCAGCTTAACCCATTGACCGCGACATTTTAAGAATGACTGAAGTCGTGAAATATTTTGTCAACGTGATTGTGCGACGCTTACCGCAATAGTCCGGACAATGTTGCCAATATTATAATAGGCACTAGAACGTTGATGTGAGTAACTGGAGCTTAGCGCAATTGTTGTCCGCATTAATCCGAAGTACTAAAAATGAAATAAAAAGGTTATATTAAGCCTTTCCATTATTTAGGAATTTTTCGTTCATTTCATGCTAAAGTTCAATAAATAGATATTATGAATGTAATTTATACTGGTTTGGTTAAAAAATCGACAGTCAAATATAATTTATCGAAAAAGTTGTGTTTAGAAATTACGATATGTGAAATAATAGCCTTGGTTGAAGACTGAGGGCACATCCCTTTAGGCCGCCACTATGTCTTCAAGGCTTGGCTACTATAAATTTCAATGTCTTCAAGTCTTGGATACTATAAATATTCAATGCTAAACACAACGCAATTCTATAAAGAGCGATTGAAATGAAGAAGCACAAGAAATAATCAATAACCAGTTTAAAAACAGCTCTACAACTTTTGTATTTGGCTTTAGATTTTTAACTTTTGGTCTCGAGCATCATTGAAGAAACATTTTGTTGTCAACATGCGCACCTGGTGGAGTAAAATTGGTAACGTTTTATGTTATTAATAGCTGCCAGACAAGATAAATAATTAAAAGATAATAATAATAATAATAATAATAATAATAATTATAATAATAATTATAATGATACAAAAAAAGTAATAAGTTATTTTCCTATCATTAATATGATAAACTTTATCCGAATCAGTAATATTACATATTACATTCATATAGCTGATATTTGATACACTCTCTTACAGCGGCCTATGGACCTTGTCCAAACCCTCCACGATGTGCCCCGGGCTGTTTTAAACTTGATGAAAGAGGATGTCTCCTATGTGCTTGTGGTGTCTGTGAGTATTAAGTCACACATGAACTTTCTTTTGTCAAAGAGGGGAGAAAAGGAAAAAGGAGTCTGGTATTTTATGTTGATTGAACATTTTTTTTCGAAAAGATACATATCATATATATATATATATATTCCAATAAAATAATATTACACCCCAGTTCTATTGTTATACTTCATAGTTTCTATTTCTGAAACAAGTGTAAATTGAATAGATCTATTGTTACGAATAACAATGGATTTGACCACAGGGTGTGACGAGCAGGGTTTCTGGAAACCCCTGCTTCTACATCCCGAAAACAAAGTCCATTGTTATTCATTACAATAGAAATTGATTATTTTTTAAATAGCATGAACATAAGAAATTACTAATAGACGTGTTCACTACAAGTTGTTTCAAGATATATAAAAAAAAAAACACAAAAAAAAAATCCTTTAAGGGAAAAATAATTTGATTCATAGCGTTGAAAAACTAAATAAAATTGTTCGCTATTTGCAAGAGAGAAAAAATTTCTGACTCCGACAGAAAATCATACCCCCCTTTTGAAGTTAAAATGGTTGCTCCCTAAATAGTCCTTTGCTTGAAGGTAACATTTTTGATCCCAGTCATATGTCTCTATTCTAAAGCATTGATCTTATAAAAAAACGTGGATTCTAACTCCCGGACCCACCTGGATTGCCCCCAAAAAGGGAGTCCGAATGTGAATGTTTGTTTATTCTCGAGAAGGGGGGGGGCTTTTTTTTTTATAAAATCGTTACATAAAAAATACTTTTATGATTACCTTCATTAAACTGATACAGGTAAGTACTTTGGGTTATAATATTGCCTTTATCTTTAGTCTCTTCTACCAAATCCAACGCTTGACTCAAAATGTCGTCCGTGTTATACCCGTCCATATTGACAACTGCATACAAGGAGCATGATGTATTTTTTTTGTAACAAGAAAGCACGAAACGGTCAATCTTGAACTGCTGATCCATATTAGCACTAGGATTTAACGGGAATATGCAAAACAGCAACTTTGACATTTATAAAATCTACTCACTTGTCAAAGTTTGAACGAACATAGCCAAAGTAAAGTTACTAGTGGGGTTTTATGTAAAAATAATATGTTTTTCTTATAAATCGTGGTTTGATTTTGTCAATAAATATGCTATCCGTTCTTTTTCATTTAATAATCAATGTTAACAAATATAGGGTTTAGCATTGGGTGTAAGTTAGTTATACATCTCGGGATACGGCGTGTCTGGATGAGAAACCCCTGCGGCCTCCGGCCGTCGGGGTTTCTTATCCAGACACACCTATCCCTCGGTGTATAACTATTACATCGTTTATTCTTGCATGATAAAACTAATGATGTAGTGCTGTGAAGACACAATTTATCTTTAAACATATTTTGGATCCGAATCTAAAAAAACCTAGGCCTTTCTTTAGTTATGAAATGGTTAGTGTCAAAATGTGCGAGATCGAATTGAACGGCACAATTATAATAGTAATGACTGCACCTTCTTATACCTTACTCGTGTTATGCAAAATTGTATTCCATATAGTTTTGGGTGTGCAATTGAATCTCGTACGATTTATAAGATATACGCTGTGAAAATGTTACATTTAAGTTGGAAACAAGTAAAACAAATCTGCATTACTACAAACACTATTTTATTAAGGATCGCAAACTTCGTGCTTAAGTCACATTTGCGAAAGTGTGCACAAAAATGTCATTTATTTCAGTAAATATTTGTTAATTAGAACATTTTTTTAGATCAAATTAAATAGTTTAATAATATAAACGGTAGAATTTAAATTTCTACTTTGTTTGTTTTTGTTTGTTCAGTAAAAAATAGTACGATGTTAAGTAGGGTATATCAAAAATATAAAGGAACGACCAGTCAACTACATCACGGCTGACTTTGGACTAATTTTGAAGATGAAAATAAAACCTTTCGAGTAAAGCCTGGCATAATGGTGGTGCAGATTTAAAAAAATGATGTTAAAGGTCATCATACTTTTTATCCTTGTGGAAAATTTGTCAGAAATCCTTCATGATAAATAAATAAAATATTAAGATGGTACCTAACACTACAGGGAGATAACTCTGTAAAAATCAGCTAAACGTTTTAATCACGTTGTTTTGTTAAGGAAATATTACGCTTCTCAATGATCAAAATTAGTGTTTGTCAAACTGCTATATAACCAATGAAATTTTTCTGATAAAGTGGTTGGTTCAAATTATTTGAAATTTTTATATTTTTGTCAAAGGGTCAAAGTAAACATTATGTCAAAATTTTATGAAAATTAAACGAGCCAAATTAATTTTAGTCAAGGTGTTGGGTACCACCTTAAAGAGAAAATTTACTGGAAATGTTGTTTATATCTTGTGTATTACTTTATGCCTGATTACCAGAGCTTGGTGACATATACTTATGCTTCTGAAAGGGGAACAGTTATATTAAAATCCGATTCAAGTTTCATGGAAAAAATTGATGAAGATCATTATTGGTCATTTAAACCCAAAAGAAAATCAAAAACATAATAGTAGTCTGGATGCGTAAGGGATTTGATTCTGAAGGGGGTTGGGTGGATGGGGGAGCTGGCAGATTTTGGAAATAATATTCTGGTCCCCATTTATGTGAAAATAAATAATCTTGCCTTATCACACATGAAAATAAATATTCTGGCCCCAAATATTCAATATGTTCAAAATATTTTTAGCTCGCTTTTAATTTCATTAAATTGAACCATAAGATATTCTACCAAACTTTAGAAGTCATGGATATTTCCGGGAATTTGGCCCATATGGCAATATGACTGAAGTATAATCCCCGGCATTTTCAGGTTTCAACCTCCGTTGGGAACCCTATACACAGGCAAATTTTGCTCGGGTGAATTTCACACGAATATCACCTGAAATTCACGTAAAAAATTTCACGTGAAATTCCCCTCAAACGAGCTTATACGTGAAACTCATGTGTTTTTACGTTAATTTCACGTGCATTGAGATTCACATGAATCTCACGTAAACTTAACAACAACAACAACAAAAATGTATTTTTCATGACTTTAATTAAATTTGAAAGTAAAGATGTTATTTGTTATTTGAAAAACTTTATTTTGAAATTCACGTGAACTTCACGTATAAGCTCGTTTGAGGTGAAATTTCCCTGTGTACAGAAGAACAAATTCATTTGCAACTTCGAAATATGTGACTGAACATCAGACATTAGTGCTTTATAAATTTTTTTTTTTAGTTTTTCCCCTTGTACATGTATTGTTTAAACTTTATTTCTTAGAAAACTTAAGAAATTCTTGACAATGCTACAGAAAAAGAGAAATAACCCAATCTACTATTTCTTATTGATATGAAAAATAAATAAACATTCTTTTTCTAATAAGTTAAATAAGTAAGCATTTTTACCATCGTGTTCCTGTTAAAACATACCTGTTTTCTGAAATTATAATTATACATATTGTTTTTCCTTTCAGTAAACTTTCACCCTGGAGGATACCATGGAATGCCACAACGTAAGCAAATACTTTATAAGTAATAACCAAATAGTTTTATATTGTTTTATTTATGACCCTTTGGAACGTTACATGTAGAGTCATGGTAGCACTTTCATGAGGGTCTGGATGGGGTTTACAGAATGGAGAATAATGGGCAAAAAGTGCAGAACAAATGGCAAACAAAAATAAAGAATAGAGAATAATAGGGCAACAAAATAAAGAATAGAGAATAAGTGTGCGCTTAAATATAAAGAATAGAAAATAATGGTCAAAATTTATAGAGATGAGAGAAAAATGGCTAAAAAAATTAAAGAATACAGAATTGAGGACCCCCATCCATACCCTCTTTCATATCTACATGTCTGTATATTTGTTTAATTGAATTTTATTTTGCTGCGAACGATGTTCACTATATTAGAATATCAATCTATTTACTTATTCACTGCAATTTCATACATATTTGGAAATGTTCTTTGTATCTAAGCACCTACGTTGTGGTGTCAACATATAATTGTTCCGCCTAACAGAAGTTCCCATGGAAACTTTGTTATAATATATTGCCATAATATATGTTCCTGTTGGAAAAATATTCTATAATATCTATTCCGTAAAGAACAAATTCTGCAATATTTGTTCCAGAGGAAAACATATAACAGAATTTTTATATTATGAAGTAATATCTATTTAATGGATATTTGTGACATCACAGAAGTCCAGAATATTTTACTGATGGGAAAATTCCGTAATAACAAATGCATACAAATTTGATTTGAAAATAAACGAGAACCAAGCCTAATTGCGAGAACAACCTGTACAATCGAATCTACATTTCTTTCAGTATGAACCACGCATTTTCCTGAAAAATCTGAATATTCGTTCCTTTAGTATTATAGATTTCTTATTAAATTCAAATACACGATTGCATACAGGAAGTATTCGCAACTGTAAATTAAACTAACATCAATCAATTAATATATCTTAGTGGCTGTGCGTCCATACATATTTGTATTTTAGTTGTACCTTCATTCTCATATTTCTGTGCGAATTGTCTTACTGTCTTATTATCCGTGAATAAAATGTGTTTAAATTTAACATGCTTAAAACATGAAAACAATACTTATATACGTCCGAAGCCCTCTTCTGGATTTACCTTCATCAGGACCGCCCAAAGCCGAATATATGAAAGCCAAGGATGTATAAGAACCAAAGCAGTTGAAGACATATATAGATATAGGAAGATGTGGTATGAGTGCCAATGAGACAACTCTCCATCGAAGTTAAAATTTATAAAAGTAAACCATTATAGGTCAAGGTACGGCCTTCAACACGGAGCCTTGGCTCACACCGAACAGCAAGCTATAAAGGGCTCCAAAAAATTACTTATATATGACTAAAAAGGACCGTAAATTAATATGGACTTAAATTATTTTTTTAAGTTCATATGGGTGGTGGCGGATTTGTTCCTGGACAAATGTCAGGAGGTGGAATGTTTGGAGGACATAAGGTAAATGGTCAAGGTGCTCTTAGTAATAAAGCAAATCAACTTTATATAAACAAAATGAGAAGATATTTGGTACATATATATAATCGCACAACCTATGATTTTTAATCAATGCACGTGACATTTGTTTCAGGATTAACGTGATCATATATCTTAAAAAGGTGAACGGCGAGTCTCAACAAATGGTCGTCAACGACGTGTCTACCACTACAAATACAACGCATACGCGAATAGAACTGACCTGTTTAGTATATTTTAGATAAATAAATATCTAATGTGAAACTAATGCATGTCAGAATAAAAGCCAACAGGTGTTAATCTTATCAGATAAATTAAAATTATCCACAGTAAATTCATATTGAAAAAAAATGTTTATCTTATATTGGTCTTTATTTCATGGTGCAAAGAGCACAATTGCATTAAAAACTTTTTTTTACAATAAATTAAGATGAACTTGTAATATGCTTGAGTCTGACAAAAAGCATAGACCCCCTACATACATTAACTTAAAATGGGAAAACATATTCGATAGATGACAGAACAAGAAACACTTGAAACAGCTAGATATATCCATTTTTTTCAGAGTTCTTGAAATCCTTTTCCCCCTTGTGGTCCTTGAAGAAAACTCCTCACTATTATTTCTATTGAAAAAAAACTAAAATTGTGTCGGTCCTTTGCAAAATTTTTGTTGTTGCTCAAAACCTTCGAACCACAACGGATTTTATTATCTTTACGACTTGACAAAGTACGAGCTTTTGGTTGAGACTTTTGCAGGGCTATCTTTCGTTATAATTTTTATTCATTAATTATTAAAATTTAAGGCACAGACACAGGCACAGTCCAAACCATTAAGTCAATGCCCAGGGACAAAATTATGCATGCAGACATGCAAAGGAAAATATTCCCTTGGTAATGTCGACAGAAATGGATGTAAAACATGCACCTGTCATACAACGCACGTTTCCACGCACCACTCAAGTAACAGTAAGTATCACACAACACACGTCTCCACACAGCACTCAAGTAAAAGTAAGTATCACACAACGCACGTTTCCACACAGCACTCAAGAAACGATAAGTATCACACAACGCACGTTTCCACACAACACTCAAGTAACAGTAAGTATCCCACAACGCACGTTTCCACGCACCACTCAAGTAACAGTAAGTATCACACAACACACGTCTCCACACAGCACTCAAGAAACGATAAGTATCACACAACGCACGTTTCCACACAACACTCAAGTAATAGTAAGTATCACACAATGCACGTTTCCACACAGTACTCAGGTAACAGTAAGTCTCTACGCACATTAGTAACAGTAAGTATAACACTATCACAAGTACTTATCAAACAAGACACGTCTCTGCGCACACACATTAAACAGAAAGTATCACCCTTTCACATGTAGTTGTCACACAACACAAGTATCCACACACACACACACACACACACACACACTCAGTAACATGCACAATCACATTATCACATGTACATGTCACACAGCACATGTATGAAAAATCAAAGCCTGGAAAAGTATCACATGTATACCTGAAACATAACACAAATACAAACAAGTAACACAAAGTATCACAATATCACACTTTCTTTTCACACAACACATGTTCCCAAAATACAAACAGCGGTTAGTATTGCAAATTGACGTGTATGCTTGTAACACAACACACAAACACACGCTTAACAGCAAGTATATTAAGACTATCATCATATCGATCACAAGTCACACATATTGACACATATTCACACTCACATTTTTCAAAGCTTTCGTAATGTATCACATGTTTCTGTTACTGACCACACGTCTTCCCTTTCTGATGAAAAAGTGCCTATCACATATGTTTTTGAAATTTGGAATTCCGTATCCTAACGAAACATTTGTAAAACCAATTGAAGGATGCATTTAAGTTCTGTATTAGTTCTGAATTTAGGTTTAATTCGATTGTTATTCAATTATAATTACATTTTCATCAATGTACCGTTTATCAATTATAGAATAGAGAAATATTTACTTCGATGTTTAATGTTTTTCTTTCAGCTGTATATGTGGCAAAACAACAACCACAACAACAACCAAAACCACAGCCCCATAAGACATATTCGTACGTTGTACAACAAGTACAACATAAAGAAGCCTCATGTACTGGTACAAAACTTTGTATGATGACTTGCAAATCGAGATATGTCCTCGGGGCTAAAGGTCGTGATGGATGCAACACCTGCACGTGCATCCCAGGTACGTTGTTCATCACGTGTATACTTTTAGACGTTTATAATGATACAATTGTGTTCTCGTCCTTGTTTAACGGAAAAGACAAAGGGGGAAGGATCTATTTGATGTATTTTAAAAGCTATAGATATTCGAAAGTTTGTTTTTGTCTTCTAATACTTGAAGGATCTACAAAACTGCTGATATGAATTCCAATGTTGTACAATTGACTGCAGACAAAAAAGAGCTGTGCAAACAAGCTGATATGCCATGTTCAATACAGTAAATTTGACCAAAACCATATAACAAGATTAAATAACTTTATAAGAAAATAAGTGCTTGGCTGCAAATTCACAACAATGTTCTTAAAAACTAAACAAAGATCAGATGAATCGTAAGTTTTCAAATTTTTTTTTTGAGATTTTTGGTGTTAGTGTAGTCTTTACAAAAACCAAATACTAGCTCAGTGAAAAATTACATTGTTTTCCTAAATGGCTTCGTATGGCGCTCAATTACAAATTAGGATATATACATAAATGTGCATGACATCTTTTCTCTTGGAAACGCCCATAATAGAATACATTTTTACATTTTAATTTATATTGGTGAACGTCATGGCAAATTCATGATGTCACACGTAGGGCTTCCTAAACAGGTGAAGTAATTCTATAAGTATTATTCATTTCTTACCTGGAAGTCATTTATAGAGCATTTAAGGATGTACTTAGGTGAAATTAAAAAAATCTAGAATTCAAAATTGGTACTATAAGTCAAAAGAGCATTAGTTAAGGAACAAAATTAGCTAACAATATTGATATGTTATGGAGCTCCTTTTCGAGATATTTAATTTTTTTTAAATGGCGGGAAAAGGCTGACTCGGACTTTTACCTTATATTTGCATTGGTATTTTTTGGGTCTCAAATTGAAAGAAAAGAAATCTAAAATCTGCTTGAATTTTGGTAAATGACCTTTTATGAGCCATTGAAGTCTTATAAGAAAAGTAAAATGGGTGTTATGGGGCAAAACAATTTACCCTGTATCGTAGGACAAAAACAAAGGAGTCCGAACATTTGACAAAAATTCATAAACCTCACCCAAGTACATCCTTAATTGTAATCATTTTTTATTGTTGAATTATGTGTAAGTAAGATTATTTTAATAGAGTGCATTGAAGGGAAACTCTGCCGTTCACTCACAAAATAAACCTAAAGAGCTCCGAACTTAATTGAGTTTGTAAGTGAGTCGGCAGAGATAACACATTAACGTATTCCTTCAAAATAACCTTAATTACTATTATGAGCACAAAGGAATTTGTATTTAGTAATAAATAACCATACACAAAACACTTACCAAAGGGATATTTTTTTAGAACCAACACCAGCACCAACAAAAGCTCCCGCCAAAATGAGCTGTATGTCGACTGTAATGTGTATGCTAACATGTAAGAATGGTTATCAACTTGGAGCCACTAAGACTGATGGTTGTCAGGAATGTGCCTGTGTTGTTCGTAAGTTTTATATTCCCGAAAAGAAGTTTGTTTACATTTCCTGTTTGAATAAAGCAATTATATCTGATAAAACTTCCTCTATAACCTCCCATATTCAAAACAAACGATTATTCTTTTTGTCTGAAACACCTGCGAACCACACTTGTGTATACACTCTTGAAAGATACCACGCTTATAATTTTGTCGGGCTAAATTCTGACAGTAAATGTTTGATTTCTTTGCCAGATTTATTTTATTGATATTACTCCATGGCTTTGTTCTTGAATTCACAATTCTGGCGTGATCGTCAGTTTGCAAAGAACTACACTCAAACCGGTGCTAGGGGCAGTCTCAAACTTGCAGTGAGGTGAGAGTTTTTGCTCTGTGTTGAAGGACTCACTTTGACTATGAGATGTATAAAAGCGCTTGTTCCTTTGCTTTTCGGGTTTTTTGCATGTACTGATTTTGTGTCATGGATGGATACCCAATATCCTTTCTTTTCTGTTATAATTTTTGTTACGTGCCACGCGTTTCTTCAACATGCGACTCTTTAGTTGCGTTCTTATCAAAATAGTTGGAAAATCAAACCAAATACATTGACAATTGTCAACTGTGTATCTTGACCCGTATTTTTTAAATATTATCATTGCAGCACAAGTAGTTAAGATGGAAGTGACTTGTGCTAGCAAACTGACGTGTTCCTCAGGATGTAATGTCGGATACAAGTGTGGAACTGATGGATGTCCAACCTGTGGCTGTATCAAACCTCAAGGTACCTTCTTTTTTTATAATAAGTGCTTCTTTTAAACAAAATCTTACTTGCGTTGTCTTTTTTGTGGGACACGTGTACACTTCTAAGCTTACAACAGTTGTCGTTCTTGTGAGACACTTTTAAACGGGTTTCTTGAAACATATGAAAATCGGCCCAAAATTGGGGAAGAGCACTAGTATAATTTATGATTGAAATACAAAACAAATCAATTGAATTTTAAGTTAGTAGCACTTATCTAGTAAATTACGACTATCGTCATTATCAGTTCGGAACTATCGTATTGGAATTGTAGATTGTAACACTGACAAATTATAAACGAAAGAAATAAATAAATGTTTGGAAAAAAATCGGTAAAAGTGATTTCATATCTTTTGCAATATAATAAATAAATAGTACACGATAATCAAGTTGAAAATTCCGTTGCTTACACAGAAGATCTAGATATTGATATTTATAATTACTTTTTTTATCATAAGAGTCTTATATAAAACATTTCAGTTGTTGGACTAAAGGTTGTAGAAGTAGTTCAGAAACAAGTCACGTGTACGTCTTCATTTTCCTGTCCCAGTAAATGTTCACTTGGTTACAAATGTGGTACAGATGGATGTCCCACTTGCGAATGTTTGGTAGCAGTACACACAGGTATTGTTTTGTTATTGACCTGACAATTCAAATGGAAATCTGGTAATGCATTTTTTTCTGAATTATTTTTCCTTTTGATACCCCTGTAATGAGGGCCTGGATGGATTTTAGAGAATAGAGAAAAATGGACAACAAGTGCAGAATAAAGGGCAAAAATAAATAAATAATAGAGAAAAATAGTCCATGAAAATAAAAAATAGAGAAAAAGGGGGTGTTAAAATTTAAAGAATAGAGCAATAGGCATAAAGATAAAGAATAGAGAAAAATGGTCATAAAAATAAAAAAATAAAAAATTGAACGACCCTCATCCAGACCCACATGTATGATACATTTTGTTGATGCTATTTATTTCTGTTCTTTAAATGAGATACTTATACCTCCCTCTGTAGAGATCATTACATTTTTTTTATTTGATTTCAATTTTATAAAAAAAGACATAATCTCATTATTTAAATGGTGTAATGTTTTTTTTTATTTCAAAACTAAAGACAAATAATGAATAACATCTGCTCCGTAGCTGCTTCTGTAAACTTGAAACAAAGAAAAGAGAAAAGAGTACTGTGAATCTGGTTAAATATATATACCAAAATGAACTGTATCGGACAAGACCCATAGTCAGTTTAATTGTAAAATAAAAAAAAATGTAATGTGTAAATACTTAAATTATCTTACATTATACATCGTTTGATCTTTACTAATATAATTATTTATGAGCACATACGGAGGAAGGTATCGTACTCGAATACAAAATTATTTCAAAATAAAGAAAATATTTCTTCATATGATGACATCAATGCTATCAATAGTTATAATTTACATTGATTTATTAGTTTAAATTTGTAGAATGCAATGACTGTAGTAACGTCAATAGTGGTAGCAATCACGTGTATATCACTCAGACAACCAATCAGTGTCATGACTGTGACAATACACATACCTCGACAACCAATCAAATGGCAACTCAGAATACCGGTTCATGTACTGATTGCGGTACTGGTGGAGGAAGTGCTAATATAGCACAAAATAGTGGCACGAAGCCAGGTCAAACTAGTTCAGGAGGACTTCAGTCACCTTTTACACCGGGAAGTGGTGGAATGGGTAATGGCCAGGGTCTCACGACAAACAATGGACAGAATGGCGGAACGAGCACTGGACAATCACCATTCAATACAAACGGAGGTGGTATGACAAACGCAGGTGGTGGCATGACTAATTCCGGGACCGGATATAGCCAAAGTCAAGCACAACATGGAAGTAATTTGATAGGAACTGGCGGGGAAAACATGGCTCAAGGTACTTTGCAACAGTCCAATACTGGTAGTGGTCTCTCACAGAGTGGTCTTGGAACAGGAACCGTATCCCAATCCTTAGGAAACACCATGGGGAATCAAGGACCTTCGGCCGGTATAAACACTACTGGTACAGGACCATTTGTTGCTTCTGGATATGGATTCTTTGGAAATGAGGGATTTAAACAGAGTCCTTATTCACAAGCAAGTGGAGGTAATACTGAGAAAGGTCCTTTTGCCCAAGCAGGAGGTAATTCTGGAAAGAGTCCATTTGCACAAGCTGGAGGTAATACAAATGGGCAAACAAGCTCAAATTCTGGTGGAGCACAAGGTCCGTTTAGCTCTATGCAAAACGGACAAGGATCAGTGACAAGCAGTGGTCAAGGTCCATCAACCGGAGGGAACCAAGGTCCTTTCAGTTCGGGACAAAACAGCCAGGTAGCAAATTCTGGTGGTGGACAGGGTCCTTTTAGTTCAATGCAAAATGGTCAAGGTCCTTCGACTGGTGGTAATCAGGGACCATTTAGTTCAACGCAGAACGGAAAAGGTTCGACTACAGGTGGTGGACAGGGTCCTTTTAGTTCAATGCAAAATGGCCAAGGTCCTTCGACTGGTGGTAATCAGGGACCATTTAGTTCAATGCAGAACGGAAAAAGTCCGACTACAGGTGGTGGACAAGGTCCTATAAATTCAATGCAAGGCGGATCAAACGGGCTTGCTGGATTACAAGGAAATGGCAATGTTGATGTGTCCCATATTATCAAAAATTGTCCAGAGACTATGCACTGCATGGGTCAATGTCCAATGGGATATCAACTTGCAGAAGCCGATAAGAATGGTTGTCCTAAATGTTCCTGTCTAACTGGAAAGGGAGAAACAATGCAAGGTCTACCTCATCAAAATCAGATCAACGGTCAAGGTCAAGTTGGAAAAGGTTCTGGACCCTTTTCATCAGGAGGACAACAAACATCCGGAAGTCAACAGTCAACAAACACACAAAAGCCCAGTAGTACGCACACGACTGGAGCACAACAAACAACCGGAGCACAACAAATAACCGGAGCACAACAAACAAGTACAGATAACAATAACGGTATGAAATCAGTTGGAAATTGTCAATGTCAACTTTATGTTGACCTTCAATCTCAATATAGCTTATTTTTTGTGCACATCTTTGTCCTTTGGTCTGTGGTTGATTGTTGTCTCATTGGAAATCATACCACATCTCCTTATTTATATCATTAGGGAACAAATTAACAAAGAAAGATATAAACTTATAAGCAAAACGAAGGGAATGAAACAAAAAAGTATATATATATATAAAAGCGTTTTATATTTAAATTCCGCAAGATATATTTTACAAACATGCTACTATCATAAGTCAAAAGTATTAAAAGAAATCACCTATTAACTGAACAATAAAAGGAGAAAGGAGAAAGCTGCCACCACAACTGTCAGTTTAATCATTAACTTGTTAAAATGACATAGATATTTGGCATTGTTACTAAACACACATGTTGATTGCGGTATTCTACAATGTTAGTTTGTTTTTAGCCAATAAGAAAGGGTTGTGATATTTATTTACTTGTAAGATTATCTTATAGTGCTAAATTATGTATTTTGAACAATATGGCATTGCAATATGACAACAGCAACAATTTATTCATTAGTAACGGCTGCCATATCAGTTGTGTATGAAAACCGCAACATTCTGATTTCATCAAGTTTTAGTCTAAAATATCAAACATTAAACATATCTGTTAGGAAAATAAATAAACTCATCATAGATACCAGGATTAAACGTTTGTATGCCAGACGCGCGAAGCAAATAAGTTAAAAAGCGCAAAAGTAATTCAGAGATAAATCAGTGCAATAATAACAATTTTTATTTTTCATAATTTACAGCACAGAAATCTAATGTTTTGTCTTGTCCGACGACATTTTACTGTCCCCATGAATGTTCGATTGGTTACATTCCCGGTCCTGATGGATGTCCGTCATGTGAATGTGCTGGAGGTTATAGTAAGTTATTAACTAATACAGAGCATGTGATTGGTCATTTTAGAATTTTATGAATTCTGGGAAATACTTTCAAAAGCGTACACAAAAATGTGTGATAGGCTAACATTGTTCTAAACAATGAGAATTGAACCAATGACTTGAAGTTATTGTCATTTCGGGATATGAACGATGAAATGAAAATCCTTTAAATTATAAAACGGCGAATTGTTCATCAATAGAATAACAAATTTAAGTAATGATACACAAAATAAAAGTTCAAAAATACACACACATATATATATATATATATATATATATATATATATATATATATATAGGGCGCCTGACATAGCTGACAAATAGCTGATATGAAAGGTACACCATCTACTTGCCATTATACATCATGTACTGTGTTACAACCCTAGATAAAACCGACGAGGAAAGACATTACATCGACACCGAAAGCTACATTTATATGTAGCCAAGGTGGTAGAGTGGTCTAGGGCGCTGGACACGGTGTGGGCGGTGATGTCACAGAAGCAAGGGTACGAATCCCGCTGAGGGAAGAACAAAAATTTGTTGACGCAAATTTAAAGCTCTAACATTTTGGGCTAAATTTGAGACGAATTATATATATATATATATATATATGAGTTTGAATTAAATCGTCGTGATATGAATTAAATAAAACAAAAATGTTTACAAGACAGATAAAATCTAAAATATTTTTATTTTGTTCCTTGATATTAAGCCATTCTCATACCGAATCACATAAAAAGATAGGAGATTTATATTCTATAAAATGTGTTTAAATATAGGTAAGGGAATGTTCAATTGTGAAAATCTGATTTGATATCAAATAGTAGTAATTAATCATTAAGAATACTTGCCATGGATATTAAGCATGTTTTACTGAAGAAATTTAATGTACCATCATGATTTTGGACCATATAAACGAATTAATAATTGGCAACACATACACATATATTTAGCAACCACCGCCAATTTACCCAATAACTTTTAATTTCGTTGAAACATGTTTATACAAGTTTAAAAAAAAATGAAACTAGTACATATTGTTAAAAGTAAATTTTATTTTTAGGAACCGCATCACCTGCTGACTGCATGGGGACATTTGCCTGTTCTGACATCTGTAAATCGGCGTACATGCGAGGATCTGATGGATGTCCTAAATGTGACTGTATAAAATCATTTGGATGACCCCGAGATATAAAGACAAAATAAAATGTTCTATCTATCAATCTTGATACAACATCATCTTCTAGTATTTCTTATACTGTCTGCCACACTAATCATTGGTCTTTCTTTTTACCATTTCATTACACATGCTGTTCCATATATACAACTGCCTTTCAGAAACATTATATATTAATCCATAATCTTGACTGTTGTATTGTTACTTTCATTGCTTGATTATATGCTACCGCTGATGACGTTATACAGTTGGATTATTTGTATGGTGTATTTTGTACATGCCAAGTTGCGTTTTTGCTTAAAACTATTTTTTACTTTTATCTTTATACCCAACAATACACATTTTGTTTTCTAATACTTATTTCGTTTAAATATTTTGAATTTCATTTTACATGCAAAAAAGTATGGAACAATTAAAATACAAATATTTGAAAATTTAAATTATAATTTTACAGAACAAAAACCAGTGATTGTAACAGAGCCTTTAAAACAACCATCAAAAACTGAGACAGTCACCTTATTGAAACAGTGCCCTGCAACATTCAATTGTATGACGTCATGTAAGGAAGGCTACACATTGGGTAGTGCTGGTCGTGATGGGTGTCCTGCTTGTACCTGTGCTACAGTACAAAGTATGTATTTCATTGCTTTTGCAAACACAAATAAATAGATATAAGAAGATGTGGTATGAGTGCCAATGAGACAACTCTCCATCCAAGTCAAAATTTATAAAAGTAAACCATTATAGGTCACAGTACGGTCTTCAAAACGGAGCCTTGGCTCACACCGAACAGTAAGCTATAAAGGGCCCCAAAACATTACTAGTGTAAAACCATTCAAACGGGAATAGACCGGATTGACAGATTTCAAAGTGGTTAAGGCCAAAATCTAAAGAATTTGTAACAGTACCTTACGCAATCTAACCTATTTAACTTTTGGATCTTGAATGTCTCTTTGGTATCTGCTGGCTGTCTGCTGCCTCTTTTTAACATAAGAATATAACCAGACACGTCGATATGGTAAGCACCTCCTGTTGTTTATCCAATACAATTTGAAATACAAAGTGCCACATTCAGGAGAATGACAATTCATACATGTACGAACAAGTACAGTCAGGTAGAAGAGCCTTTTATATATTTCTAGACAACCCTTTCGTGAAATGACTGCAGATCTGGTCAATATACTCTTGAGGAACTTGGTTTGAATTTCCTAATTTAAGTATAATTTAGCTAAAGGAGCATCAATAATTGTCACATTGTAGTAAAATATTAAGGAGTCCGGGTTAGTAATAGATCAATTTATATGAATGCTGAGCAACAAAGCGCTGAAATAGATTATTAAATAATAACAAAAGTATACTGAACAAAAACGTTTAGAACCACCACAACCTTAAATTGCATTGCAATGAAATTAAGGTTTTCAAAAAAGAAATGTTCTCATTAATTTGCACATACATAATGCTTTGAATATGATAATTTATATTCAAGCTTATAGCTTTTATCTCGTTGAAAAAGTTTAAGAGGTCGACACTGTAGAACACTTTTATACACTCGTACACTGAAGAACACATGTTTAAACACTTGGACACTGTAGAACACATTTGTACACTGTAGAACAAACATGCAATGACTGCCACCACACATCACGTAGTTGTGATGCTACTATATCCTGTATGGCAACCTGTGAACATGGATATATCCTCGGTGATAAAGATAACACTGGATGCCCGTCATGTCAATGTCAGGCATGTAGCACATGTGAAGAAACAAAACCACAAGTTGTTCTTGTTCAACAGCAAAAAGAGACATGTAATAATTGTGAAAAGGTTCAAGTTGTACAGCAGGTTAAGGAAGAATGTCATGAATGCGAAACTACAGGTAAATATGTTAATAAATTGCAGTTCATGTTACCTTCTGTAGACAATTGTAAATTATAGTAAATCGTATCAAAGTAAAGTTGAATTTCTAATATTTCTTTAATGATAATTGTTGGGTTTTTTCACTGAATTTCTCTTCTCATTTGTACAGCTGTTTTACTATTACAAACGAACAAGAACTAGAACTCTTCAAATTAGAAATCTTTCATCCCCACTTTCTGAGTAACAATTGGTAAGAAGTAAAATAACAAAAATACCGAACATCAAGGACAATTTGAATTTGAAAGTCAAAAGCTCAGTTTCATACCTGTCTTAGTTAGATATTTATTTGGAGTATACAGTAAGATATAAAATATATTACCGTGGTTGTTCGTATGTTTAAACAAAAGAAGAAACAATCCTTTGGTATTATTTTTTATATATAAATGTTCCGTTTATATAAAGGTGGTACAGGTCTAATGACAGGAGGTACATCCGGAGGCGGAAGTGGTGGAGGAATGACGGGAGGAAGTGGAAGTGGCATGATGGGAGGTGGAGGAGGAGGTGCCATGGGAGGAGGAATGTCATCAGGAGGTGGGGGTAGTGCTGGTATGACTGGAGGTAATATATTCAAACATCATTATATGCTTTCTGTAATTTCAAAATTGTTGTTCATAAAATTAGCTCATTGTATGCTTTCTGTAATTTTAAAATTATTGTTCATGAAACTAGCTCATTGTATGCTTTAATCTATGAATTGTAGTTCATATAATTTACTTATTACATGCTTTCTATAATTTCAAAATTGATGTTCATAAAATTAGCTCATTGTATGCTTTCTGTAATTTCAAAATTGTTGTTCATAAAATTAGCCCATTGTATGCTTTCTGTAACTTCAAAATTATTGTTCATAAAATTAGCTCATTGTATGCTTTCTATAATTTATAAATTGTAGTTCATATAATTTACCCATTCTAAGCTTTCTACAATTTCAAAATTGTAGTTCATAAAATGCACTTTACGGAAAAGAGTCGTATCAGTAATTACTTATAACGATAAGAGATTTCAGATAAGAGAAACCTCTTAAGACATGTAAGACTATATATGACAATCATCCATAACGTTTCAATGATTCTTACATAAGGGTTGTGAAATTATGTGAAGCTTTTGGCATATTTCATCATCAATTTATTTACATGTAAAACATGACAGTTGTTATTATTGGCTGAAAAATGATAAAGATACTTAATAAAATTATTGCGTCCGAAGCGCTTTGGGTTTACCTTCATCTGAAACACTCACAGACAAAATTAAAAGTTTAAGCTGCTGAGCTATATGCATGACATAAACTCGCAACGAATCGTAAAATCAAAATTGGCATAACGATGATAATGATGGATAGCTGCTTATCGTCTAGCTTGAAATTTGTATGAGTATTCAGGACTAGAACACGTCGATATAATATGAATATTAATCCTACGTTGTTCTAGACCGACACGATGAGTCGGATAAAAGAGGCACGAATAACTATATCTATCGTAGGTTAACATTCCCTGTGTGAGTTGAAACATTACTTTCATTCAAAAATATTCCAAGTTATTTATTTATTTTGTTTCTAGGTAGCGAATGTCATCCACTGCCACCAGATTGTCATCCATCGTGTATAAAGTACGATGTGGCACATTGTAGGATCTGTGAATGTACAAGTAGTAAGTATATTGCCGGCATGACGGGCTTCATAGAGTTTACAAAATGATGTACAAAAAAAAAGAAAATAAAGAACAAAATAAAAAAGACAGCTAAAAAGAAAATAAAAGAATAATGCGGTGCTAAATTTAAAGAATATAGAATAAATGACAAAAACCTTCAAATGCATGGAATATCATACCGAAGATAAGACAGTGTACATGTATCAGACAAAACAGCAATACCATGAAAAATAATGACTTATAAATCTTGCAATCACCATTTAAATTATGCATTATTAATAAAGTGTTGTTCTCATAATTTGTTTGGTTATACTCCAAAAACATTCGCAACTATATGACTCATACATAATCACTGATAAACATTACTTTTGATACAAGGAGGCGCGCCGATTCTGAGGGGATATCAAAACTCATAAGTCGACCGAAACTAACAAAGCCATGGCAAAAGAACATGAGAAGACAAAATAACAATAACGTGCACAAAACGCTCCATAGACATCAAAAGACTGAGCAGCACGAACCCCATGAAAATAGGATTGATCTCGGGTGATCCGACAGTATATGTAAACACCTCTCCTCTATAGTGGCACCCGTCGTGTTAACCTTGGTAAATACAAGTTCAGTGGTATGTCCCATTTGGTGATCTCATTGTGTAAAAGAAGACAGGACAATCAGTATGTGTTAACGAATAAATACCAAATTTGATGCACACGTTTGATTCGCATTATTATTCTTATTTCATGGATGCACAGACCTTTTTTTCCCTAGAATGTATTGGACCTATAATAGTATAAATACGTTTCTCCCCTTATTGTTGACCGCAGATGAAACTATTATTTGTTGTGCCCTCACCAGCGTGTTTTTTTTTATATTTCCGGACATGTTTTCTATTGAACACTACTTTGACTAAATCTGTGATTGTAAGCAACTGACAAAAATTCTAACGAGTACTGCAAATTTCTTTCAATATGTGAGGGACTTCATAGAGTTTACAAAATGATGTACAAAAGAAAAAAAAATATAGAACAAAATAAAAAAGACAGCTAAAAAGAAAATAAAAGAATAATGCGGTGCTTAATTTAAAGAATATAGAATAAATGACAAAAACCTTCAAATGCATGGAATATCATACCGAAGATAAGACAGTGTACATGTATCAGACAAAACAGCAATACCATGAAAAATAATGACTTATAAATCTTGCAATCACCATTTAAATTATGCATTATTAATAAAGTGTTGTTCTCATAATTTGTTTGGTTATACTCCAAAAACATTCGCAACTATATGATTCATACATAATCACTGATAAACATTACTTTTGATACAAGGAGGCGCGCCGATTCTGAGGGGATATCAAAACTCATAAGTCGACCGAAACTAACAAAGCCATGGCAAAAGAACATGAGAAGACGAAATAACAATAACGTGCACAAAACGCTCCATAGACATCAAAAGACTGAGCAGCACGAACCCCATGAAAATAGGATTGATCTCGGGTGATCCGACAGTATATGTAAACACCTCTCCTCTATAGTGGCACCCGTCGTGTTAACCTTGGTAAATACAAGTTCAGTGGTATGTCCCATTTGGTGATCTCATTGTGTAAAAGAAGACAGGACAATCAGTATGTGTTAACGAATAAATACCAAATTTGATGCACACGTTTGATTCGCATTATTATTCTTATTTCATGGATGCACAGACCTTTTTTTCCCTAGAATGTATTGGACCTATAATAGTATAAATACGTTTCTCCCCTTATTGTTGACCGCAGATGAAACTATTATTTGTTGTGACCTCACCAGCGTGTTTTTTTTTATATTTCCGGACATGTTTTCTATTGAACACTACTTTGACTAAATCTGTGATTGTAAGCAACTGACAAAAATTCTAACGAGTACTGCAAATTTCTTTCAATATGTGAGGGACTTCATAGAGTTTACAAAATGATGTACAAAAGAAAAAAAAATATAGAACAAAATAAAAAAGACAGCTAAAAAGAAAATAAAAGAATAATGCGGTGCTAAATTTAAAGAATATAGAATAAATGACAAAAACAAATTGGAAAATTACCTAATAATTAATGAATACTGACAATAAGATCACTAATCGCCAGACCCCCATGCATGTTAAGAATATAGAATATAAAGAAGTTAGCATTTACTTCATCCATGACTTTTAAAAGGAATCTGTCTTAAAACAGATGTATGTTGATATGCATTTTCATTCGAATTTAATGCATGCTTGTAACACGAAACACCAACAAAAGGTTTTGTTCAAAAGTAGTGAGCCTGTCCACGAGCTCCATGATTTTACACAACCTAAGCGTGTTCCCGTTGACTTAAAACTACTTATCTACTAAAATGATATTTAATAATATAAGTGTACAGTAGATGTTAGAATGAAAACATTTTGAAAACATATCAAACATATTAACTCTAAAGTAAGAAGCCATTTCACTAGTGACACAAGTCGTGTTACAAACTATTTAATCTGGGCTCCTATGGCAGATTATCGATATTATTGATTACCAAATCATTTAAAAGTACTATAACGGAATGTTTATTATTACACATCTACAAAATGGGGGCGGACGATGAGATCAAAACTTACAAGCCGTAAATATACTGACAACGCAATTGACGACAAAAGACAAGCAAGTCCACAAAACATTACATAACAAAATAAATTAACATCATGTACCCATAAAAAAATGGGAAGATTTCAGGTGATCAGGAAGGTTTGCAGATTTTGTTTTAATTATTTATAGAATGATGCAATAATATCGCTTTCATTTATGTTTAGATCCAGGGCATGGAATATCATACCGAAGATAAGACAGTGTACATGTATCAGACAAAACAGCAATACCATGAAAAATAATGACTTATAAATCTTGCAATCACCATTTAAATTATGCATTATTAATAAAGTGTTGTTCTCATACTTTGTTTGGTTATACTCCAAAAACTATCGCAATTATATGATTCATACATAATCACTGATAAACATTACTTTTGATACAAGGAGGCGCGCCGATACTGAGGGGATATCAAAACTCATAAGTCGAGCGAAACTAACAAAGCCATGGCAAAAGAACATGAGAAGACAAAATAACAATAACGTGCACAAAACGCTCCATAGACATCAAAAGACTGAGCAGCACGAACCCCATGAAAATAGGATTGATCTCGGGTGATCCGACAGTATATGTAAACACCTCTCCTCTATAGTGGCACCCGTCGTGTTAACCTTGGTAAATACAAGTTCAGTGGTATGTCCCATTTGGTGATCTCATTGTGTAAAAGAAGACAGGACAATCAGTATGTGTTAACGAATAAATACCAAATTTGATGCACACGTTTGATTCACATTATTATTTTTATTTCATGGATGCACAGACCTTTTTTTCCCTAGAATTTATTGGACCTATAATAGTATAAATACGTTTCTCCCCTTATTGTTGATCGCAGATGAAACTATTATTTGCATGTTGTGCCCTCACCAGCGTGTTTTTTTTTTTATGTTTCCGGACATGTTTTCTATTGAACACTACTTTGACTAAATCTGTGATTGTAAGCAACTGACAAAAATTCTAACGAGTACTGCAAATTTCTTTCAATATGTGAGGGACCTTATTTTGATTTTAAGCCTTTAACGAAAAAAAAAGAAAGTACCGCTTTTATGACTTAATCTAAAACTTTTATTTCCTCCCGAGCCTTAATGCTAAATTGCATTTATAGCGTAAACAATTTAAAATTTCTTTTGCATTGATAAATAGCTGGCTAAAAAGACTGAATCAGTATATACGAAAGTATTGGATTTTACGCATTGCATTTTGTTTTGTTTTATCATCTAGCTATATATATATATATATATATATATATATATATATATATATGGAAGGCTTTGTGATGAATAAAATTACAACCATCATTTTTATTCAGGAAATGTAGCATAGTCATTGGTTGTGTTACTGAGGAATGGATAAGTAATTATTACATAATGTCTAAGCACATGAGATTACAGTGTAGATAGTCGATGAATTAACAAAAACTATAACAACATTGTTATATTGTGCTCTATGGTCTTCTTAAAGAGAAAAATAAATTATTAATTTCAAATAAAATACATCAGTGAATAATGTTGTAATGGTTTCAAATACAATGACAGTCCCAGATACAAATACTTTCCATGACGTCTTTCGTAGCATCTGCCACAAACCTAAGAGCCAGACGTTAATTTATAATCTGAATCCTGCCGGATATCCATAAGCTGTATTTCCACCAAATCCATAAACAAAAACTCCATATAATGCATTATTTGACACATGACGTATTTTGTAAAATGAAAAACCAGCCATTTTCTTTACAATTGTTGTGAAACTTTCATTACGCGCCATTATAACAGAGGTTTCCACAGAGAAAAGACTTCCAACAAATCGAAGTCCGTCGACGTCCGATGATTTGATGATAATTGATATGTAATTTGTGTATGCGGAATGCTTTGGTGGTGCAATCACATACTCTTTTGAAAAATGATCGATTCCCGGAACAATCGACGTGGCCATACCTTTATTTTTAAATATTATATAAATAGATAGACTGATCGGATGAGACGCAGATACATAATTTGACTTGACAGATAAATCTACCTCTATGTTATCTCCATGCACAGTCATTGGTCCTGATGACTTAGCCCATATGAGTGTTGTGGTATTTTCATTTCGGCTTACGATTCGAATTCTAACACTGGAAGCCTTCTGGATTAGTGGTATGATAAAATTGCGACTCCATTTGTCAGCAGAAATCAGACTTTCGTACACAGTATCAGATACAAAGTCACAAAAATCTTCACATCTGCGGTATTCTTTAAAATATACATATTTATTTCCTGATAACGACAATCTGTTTGTTTGCATAGATTTTTGTTCCAGTCAGATTGGCATCTGTATTGATATTAAAGCCTTCCAAATAATCAAGAACCAATTTAAATTTTTGTCCAGGATTTACAGTTGCACCTCCAACTGATATACTACTGACTGATGCAGACTCTATAAAAACTGTAGTGTTTGTAACTGAAGCCATTATACCACAGTTTTGTTGGTTGGTCGGGTATGTTGTAAGTGAGTATTCTGTTCCTAATTTATTGGAAGGCAAACCAATAAAACTTGACGATTGACATAGACGAAATCCATCGTAACAATACGATTTACGGAACATTTCAACAACTGTAATCAGTTGATCAGCCGATATCATAACGGTTGTAAATGTTCTACCCGTTTCTGAATTCATTACTAAGCTTGGAATGTCAATATATGCAACACCCGTTTTAATGACTATAGTTCTTTTAATTTCTGCATATTCTGAAATTATCTCAACATCAGTTGGCATGTCAGCTGTGATAATGAACTGCACATTAATCTTGTACGAGTCTACTTGTTGTATTGGGAACATTGTATACAATAGTTTTCCTTTGTGATCTGAAAGAGAGAAAGTGTTATTTCAAATCATCATTCAAAACCAAATTTAACATTAATTGTGTTTTGATAATGCCCACTCCACAGGGAGTCATTTAGGCGATATAATAGAGACCATTTTGAAGATTTACTTACAGTTGAGGACATCATTATTGCTTTATCAACATATTATGTTATTTGAAATTTTACACAGTAACATGACGCGTTTTGTATACGATAAAATTATCCAATGATTATCGTTTACTTGTAACATAACGGTGGGTAAGGTTGTCCTGCGAGAGAACTATCTGTGCTGGTGATTCGGTCATGACTGGTGCTGTTGGGTCCTGATTCTGTGCTGGTGGGTTTGTTTACATTGTATCAGAAAGGAAATAAAACAACGGTTCTGTTGCTTAATTTTCTCTGATAGGTCCTTTAGTACCATGTGAGGATTATTGCGACAATCTTGCAAAAGTTGTGCAAATTCGCCAAACGAAATTGTCCTGACGACGTGTTGGTGATACGGTAAAACGGTCCTGGGTCTGTGTCTTATATGTTAGTTAAAAGTGGCTATTATTCAAGATTATTGAATCAGAAAATTTGTGTTATTGATGAAAAATATACCTAGCATATATTTGGTGGATATTTCATATGAGCAAAGTTGGGTCTATTTTGTTCTAACTTGATTTCTGAGAGGGGTGCAAGAGCTTTTTTATATAGGTGTTTTAGGCATTTTTAAACATCGTTCACTTACTTCCCCTTAATTTTTTATCAAAAATCCTTGACAACAGACTTTACTTTTGGATCTTTAAAATGCATAACTTAATAAAAAATCGTATTTTTGTGTGTGTTATCTAGGTTATCTAGTCTTCATTCTTTGCCTTTCCATGAAACATTTAAATATTGGTTTTAGTGTTTTATTGAACATTCACAACCCCCCCTTAACAAATTGACACACAAAATGAATATAGTATTGTGGAATTGTTTAACTTAAAATGTTCGATACATTGGTATCAATAAAATAAAAACTACTTAGTATCTTCTGCTAAACCAAAAATTAAAATGTTAGCTTAAGTTTTGCGAAATTTGTTTAATGAGTACCGATTGAGATTTTAATCTAATAGAACATGGTTTATCTATTAGTTGAAAATGCTACTTTGAACTAGCTTTCAGTAACTGCGAGTACTGGTGGTTCAATAATTTGTGTCTTTATGTTATTATTGTGTGTGCTAAGTTGTCTGCTCTTTGGTCGGGTTGTTGTCTCTTTGACATATATCCCATTTTCATTTCTCAATTTTAAGTGTTGTGTTGTTACACAAATTCACTAATAAAGAAGGAAAAGAGAAAGGGTTGGTTGACCTAAGGTGGGGAAGGGGTGTGGAGCGCAAACAAACATGTTGAGCCTTGTCCTGAGTGCCCAAAACCAGTGGTTGTTGATGGTTGCAATCTGTCATATTTGTTTGTTTTTTTTTTCAAAGTTGTATTTCAAATCAGACCGAAGGTCTTCATTTTTTAATCGTTTACATTTTTATAGCTAGCATTCGTTATGGTTTTTGCTCGTTGTTGAAGGTCATACTTTGACTTGCAATTGTTCATATCTTGTTCCATTCTAGTCAGTTTTTATCAGTCATGTATGATTAGCAAGTCTGGGTCGTTTTTTTTTTATTCAGTCGAAATGTATTGAGGACAGTGTATATATTAAGGAAGAAATTATAGGCACCAGTAGTTAGGTCATCTAACCTCGTAAATGTATTTGAAATAAACCAGTCAACCGTTTATCGTCGTTATAAATGTCGCTTTAACTCAAGCACCTTTTAATTGTTAGTTAGCATACTATGTAGAGAATAATCAATTTAAGGGCATTTAATATCTTAAATAAAACTATTGTAGCTAGATATATTTAAATCTGATATTGGACGGAAGATGTTGCCCTTTTAAGTAAATAAGTTACGATTATTCGAAAACGCTTATTAAACAGCAAAATGCATGCACACAAGTGAAAATAGGAGTCACAAATCCGATTGAATACAATTATCTGCCCAATTTTATTGATTCTGTTACGTTTGTTTTAAATAGGACCGACCTTTTACCAAAAATCACCAGCACAATGACAGGACTCACCAGCACAGAATCAGAACATGTTCAAACTGAGAAAATGAACAATTTTGATAAATTGCGCAGATTTTTCACAAAATAATTTTGTCGTGTGGATTTGGGTAAAGAAAGCGGACTCCAGGAGCATATTTGTTTTATTTTTCCGTTCTAGATTTTTTTAAATGAACACTTTTGTGTTACGCTTACTGGAACAGTTTAGAGGGTAACATTTTACATTGTTGTTTAAGAACCCATAAGAAACAAAATTAAAACATGGGATAAAACGTAAAAGATCATCATTTTCGTCTTTGTTTGCATATTTTCAATGATCACCAGCACCAGTCAGGACCATATCACCAGCACAGAACGTTTTCTCGTTCCAACGTGAACATGTATTTTGGAATTATTTTTATTTGCTGGTTCTTGTTTATTGTTGTCCCAAAAACAAACTGAAAACAATTAGTTCATCATGTTCATATGATATCATATAATACAAAATATGAAAAAATGTATATTTTACCTTGGGCATTCTTTTTGGGTGATAATCCGTTGGCCCTGTTGATGCAAATTTCTATCATATGATAGATCTAAAATAAAATAGAGTAAAATTTATTAAGTGTGTGATGAGTTGCAGATGATATCAGAAATATTAATTGATTGCCTGGAGGAGGCAAACATTAAATACTCACGGAAAGACCATGGAGGAAATGACAGCAAGGTTTAAAAACCATCATAGATTGGAAAAATAGGAGTCAAATTATAGAAATACTTTACCTTTATCCGTACAATGCATGTAACAATGTCATTGAGCGGTACTTGTTTGCGATGAAGACAAAGGTTATTTTAAATTATCATGATTAAGCTGGTTTAATCTTCACATTTTTTTTCAAATGACAGTTTTGAACTATCTAAACTGTTTACTCGCGTAGTGGTATTAACCATATGTGGATTCTTAAAAATTCTTAAGAACTTCTGGATAATTTTAAATTTCGGTCTTTTTCTGAAATAAGTTCTATCAAAACTTTTGATTTTTCAACCCTGTATACCACCATTCCGCATGTGAAATTGAAAAATCGCCTAAAAGAAATAATCCACAATGCCTTTCATCATAAAAATGGTAGCATACGCTATACTTATTTATTACTTTGGGATACCAAATTGCATATTTTGTTAATAGTGAACAAAAGGGTAAAACATGCTACACAGAGGAACAAATGATCAGTATGCTGGATTTCTTATCGACAACATGTTTGTTGAATATCGAGGTAGACTTTTTAAAACAAATTGTCGGCATCCCTATGGGAACAAACTGTGCGCCTCTCCTTGTCGATCTCTTTTTATTTTCATATGAATCGGAGTTCCTTCAGACACTTGTCAAAAACAAGAAGATCAAAGAAGCCAGGTTATTTATTTTCACTTTCAGATATATTGATGATGTTCTTTCCATTAAGAATCTGAACTTTTCTGATTGGGTTCCATTAATATATCCCCCAGAACTAGAAATTAAATAGACAACAGACACGGCTTCCTCCGCCTCATTTTTATTTAGACTTATACCTCGAATTTGACATACACAGTCATCTCAGTACCAGAATCTATTACAAACGAGACGATCTTAATTTTGAAATTATCAATTTCCCCCATCTTGGGACCGACTTTGAACGACATTAATTCTATATCTCTACCTGAAATTAGTTCTAACAAAAACTTTTGGTTTTTCAACCCTGTATACCACCATTCCCCATGTGAAATTATAATTTTGAAAATACTTTGAACGACAAAATTATTTTATAGTTCTTCCTGTGTGACGTTTTCTGGCGTCAAACACGCGACTCAACACTAAGAGTAGATGTGAATGGAGTCACAGGACTTTAAATATTTCAATCCTTTATCCTTTTTTTTTTTCTGATTTTGCCATTTGATTGGGGGACTTTCCTTTTTGAATTTTCCTCGGAGTTCAGTATTTTTGTGATTTTACTTTTTATGGGTTGATTTAAAATACATATACAAGTAAGCAATAAATGTGGTTGTTAAATTTGATAGATGCTTTCTGTGCTTCTTTGTTAAATGTTTGTTTGTTTTGAGATTGTTACACAGTAATGACTGCTGTACCCATATTTTGACAATGTTACCTATTAATTATGTCTGTTTTGTTCACGCATCGTTGTACATATAATGGAATTTGATGCGACTGTCATACAAGTGAGAGGTTTAGCGCTATAAAATCAGGTTCAATCCATCATTTTCTAAATTTGAAAATGTCTGTACCAAGTCAGGAATATGACAGTTGTTGTCCATTCGTTTGATGTGTTTTATCATTTAATTTTGCCATTTGATAAGGGACTTTTGTTTTGAATTTTCCTAGGAGTTCAGTATTTTTGTGATTTTACTTCTAAGTAGCAATATACCAACTTCAACTGCATATGAGATATACATTTCACAACTTATTTGGTATTCAAGAGCTTGCAGCTACTACTCAGACTTTGTAAAACGTCACCAGTGTCTGAGCAGAAAGTTGATGAACCAGGGGTATGTCAAAGAACCTCTCGTCCTTTTTCTAAAAAAAGTTCATCGGAAGGTACCAAGACCTTGAATTGTTGATAAATATTCCGTATCAACTGCACACATAATACATGATGGTTTTGAAGTATAGAGTATCAGAGGCGGATCCAGAACTTTTCATAAGGGGGGGGGGGGGCACTGACTGACCTAAGGGGGGGCCCGCTCCAGTGGTTCCCTATATAATCAACCAAATTTTTCCCCCCAGCCCCCCCCCCCCCCCCCTGGATACGCCTATGAGTATGCGTACTGACGTTGTTTATCATCTCAATACGTGTTATAGTGTTCTTTTATTTGTTATTAATAATATTACTAATACCGTTTTTCTTTTTTTTTGGTGATATCCATTTGACGTGGCTCTGTACTTATACATCCCGTCATTGTGTTGTTTGCATTATCTTTCATATTTGCTTTGTGCGTGTGACTTTTGTATTTCTTTGATACATATGACGTGGCTCTGTACTTTAACATCTCGCTATTGTGTTATTATTCTATCATAATTTTTGTATTCTGGTTTTTCATATTTACTAATGATTTGCCAATATGCCCTGTTGTGTTTTTTTATACATAATAACGTGGCTCTTTTTTTAGAAGAAATTCACAATAGGAATCATTCACGACTTTTCACGCGTGGCGGCGCTGCGGTTCCATAAGTGGTTACTTGAACGCTTCAATCACGTAAAACGCTTGCATCTGTATTTACAACGTAAACAATGCCAATGGCATCCGATGATTACATCACCTGGTCTGTTCCAGAACTAACGTTACGTGGAGCTGTCACAAGAGACAGAAATATAGATCTTATAGAAAGGTAAACGACGTATTTAAAAAATATTGAGATTTCTTCTATTATAAGCGGAAACGCCGCTACAGTACATGGCCAAAAAGATTTCGTCACCTAAATTTTTGGGCTATAAAAATGTATATACATGATGTATTTCATATAAAAACACGTTTATTGGAGGCATTTATGGTTGTATTTTTTACAAATAATGTGTTGAAAAACGCTGAATTGTATATAAAGAGTATTTAAAATTGAGAATGGAAATGGGGAATGTGTCAAAGAGACAACAACCCGACCACAGAACAGACAACAGCAGAAGGCCACCAACAGGTCTTCAATGCAGCGAGAAATTCCCGCACCCGGAGGCGTCCTTCAGCTGGCCCCTAAACAAATATATATACTAGTTCAGTGATAATGAACGCCATACTAAACTCCAAATTGTACACAAGAAACTAAAATTAAAAATAATACAAGACTAACAAAGGCTAGAGGCTCCTGACTTGGGACAGGCGCAAAAATGCGGCGGGGTTAAACATGTTTATGAGATCTCAACCCTCCCCCTATACCTCTAGCCAATGTAGAAAAGTAAACGCATAACAATACGCACATTAAAATTCAGTTCAAGAGAAGTCCGAGTCTGATGTCAGAAGATGTAACCAAAGAAAATAAACAAAATGACAATAATACATAAATAACAACAGACTACTAGCAGTTAACTGACATGCCAGCTCCAGACTTCAATTAAACTGATTGAAAGATTATGTCTTCATCATATGAATATCAGGCACAATCCTTCCCGTTAGGGGTTTAGTATCATACCATCATAACATATATGAGAAGAACATAACCCGTGTCATGCCAACAACTGGTTTTTAAATAAATGTGTTTAGTGCCGATGCAAAGACCCTATAAGTGAATCAATATTAACGCCAAAATATGCAATTTGTTTGTTTTGTCATAGCTCTGTCATCAGTTGTTTTTATTTTCTCCTGATGTGAACACATATACTATTTTTTACAATCTAATTTGGTTGAAATATAAATATAAAGCAAGATTGTTTTAATAGACAATAATATTTATGTTTATCTCAGAAGAAAATGAAAATAAAACAAATAGGTATTCTGCTGTTGGTACCAAGTTGCATAAAATCAAATCAGAAATGTCCCCTAAATAATCTTTTGAAATGCAATTTTATATGAAATATTTAGTGTGAAATACCAAGTGACAAATACATGTACCCCAAGTTAGAAAAAAAAACAAACAAACAAACAAACCCACTAAACATATAAATAGGCATGAAGGTATAATTAAACTTTCTAGGATACATTTAAATGATTTTGTATAATAATAATCAAAAATAGTGGTTCTATACAGATATTATCTGTTGGCCATGAAATGTGATACAGACCATGCAGACTGGGCAAGGGAAAATTAAATTTAACTTGTTATAAACTGGGACTATAATACTAATAGTATAATAGTCCCAGATATATATAAACAATTTATTACTTTTGAAAATTGGACAATTACACAAGGAAAGTATTAAATCCTCCCAATAACACTTTTAAACAAGACATGATTCTACATTTTTAAGCTTTAAATCTTTTAATATGTCTCAGCTTCATCAACTTAAAAAAAAAAAGACACTGTAAAAAAAATTATAGAGGCCCTTCTCTGCAAACTTTTTACATATAACATGATGGGGCCATTTTTGGAAATTTTAAAAGATATGTACATCTATAATGAAGTTTTATTTGCAATTCAAGTTCAAACAAGGAATTATTTAAATATAGAATAATTTCAAATTCTGCAAAATTGATTAGAAAATAATTATGAAAACTAACCCAACTAAATATTTTTTAAACTAAGAAATGTGGTCGCTATAGTTCTACATCCTTTTTTGATTCCTATCTGTTTTTGGCAGATAATCTTATAAGATTCTAAATAGTTTTCTAAACTATTATACTTTGGAAAAAAATGTTCCTAAACTAGTAAAAAGGGTTACACCTCTGTTGTTTGAAGGGCTATTAAATCATCTTCCTTTGAATATGGGTTAAATAAATTTTCTCTCCAATAAGAACTTCTTGCTAGAGAGAAAATTTTATTAATTTTTAAGAAAAAAGTAGTGTTTCATAATTTTATATACATATCATGCCCAACATTCAGCATACAAGAATTTTTCAAAATTCCATTAGTTATACATTTACCATTAAATCCACTCGATATCTTGTTTTTCAAATATTTCATGGCAAGCAGAAACCTCCTTTGTAATCCTAACATTTTAATCTATGTAATAGTACTTTAAAAAATCTTTACCTACATGTTTTAAAAAAATTCAAACCATTCCTTAGCTTGTTTAATTAAACTTTGGCTGGAACATGCATTAAATATTTGTCACTGGACATTAAGATTCCAACAATCAATCAATATATTTGAACTTGAATCATTGATTTCTTTCCTTTTTGTCTTGCCTTGACAGAGTCCAAAAGCAAGACATAGCATATATTAGGTATGCTGTTTTCAGCGTCATCAACAATGTATTAGTTAGTAAAGTAATATAAAATAGTGAAATATTGCAGACATTTTCTACTGGTAGATATTTGTAACCATGAAAGACAATATATTCATTATACAGTTTTCATGATTAATCGCACATTTTTTTCTGAGACAAGTGCCTGTGATTACTTGCTAGCCCTTCAGGCCAGGCCAGATACATTTTTTGTAAGTATAGATAATTGTTAATGTGTCAATCCTAGTCCGGAGCCTTTAATTTAGTAGTTAGAGTTGATTAATTTCTGATATGTATACATATATATTTGTTTTTTTATTGTCTTATTTTATAATTTAAAATCAAGCCATTTGTTTTCTTGTTTGAATTTTCTTTCATTTTTTAATGTTGTGACCTTTGTAGCTGACTAGTACAATGTGATTATTTCTTGACTGTATTTTATTTAATATTTTGACTTTTTTTTTTATCTTTTGTAGAATCAATTAGAAGAGCCAAAATTTATAAGCTTAGATTCAAAACATTCTGGAGGAGCAGATTGTGTGAAGGTACTTATCCTTTGCCTCAATTTATATCACAAAAATGTATTTGTGTTAAAATATACAATTACCATTAAGAGAGTTGATTTTTTGTAAGACCAAGTAAAGGTTACAGGTCCTATTCTCAGTTTGGAAAATGGTACTGTACAGTTTTATTTTAGTACTGGTGAACTCTACCGTTACAAACTGGTATGATAATAATACACCTGAAACTCCACAGATGTACGTGTATATCTAATAGCTATAAATATTCCTTCCGAATCCAGCCACACTGATTAGATGTCGCTTTTCAATATACATTTTTATGAAACCAGACTGGATTAAAATAAAATTTTCTTGTGTAATTTGATGAAATTTAAATTACACAATGTATCTCCACTAGTTTACTCACTAAACAACAGGACTAATTTGTTAACATTTTCTTTACAGAAGCCAGCAGAATTCAAGAGAAATAAAAAGAATGGAACAAAGAAAAATTGAAAAAGAACAGTGAAATGACAAAATTAAATAAATTTTTTGCATTTCTTATTGTTGTTATCTTGTGTGTTGTTGACCAAGACAGCAAAGAAAACCATCGAAAAGCTGTTCAGACAGAAAATGACAGATGCTACACATGATCAAACAAAAGATAAAAAAAAACACTTCTAAGAAAAAATTTGTTCAATACTGGACCAAATGAAATGCATGAGGATATTTATAATCTGAAAAAAAATTAATACCTCTATGTAAGTGAAACAAATTATGCGGTATGGGCTTTGCTCATTGTTGAAGGCTGTACGGTGACCTATAGTTGTAATTATTTCTGTGTCATTTGGTCTCTTGTGGAGAGTTGTCTCATTGGCAATCATACCACATCTTTTTCATATGTGTTCAGTGCAAAATACAAAAAAATGGACTATTCAATAAAATTGATATCTAAGACAGGAAATATTGGGGTTTGTCAATGAGACATCAACCCGACAAAAATAGCCAAAATATATGTAGATTAAGCCGGCATCAACAGCATGCAGACAAATGTAAAAGGAGATGTGGGGTAAAGATCAGTATGACGGCAATTGTTTTCTCAAATGTGGATCCATGATATTGAATCTAGATAAAGTGATGCCCCCCCCTCCCCCCCACTCCACTCTGAAGTAACTGTATTAAAACAAAGTCAATGTAGAACTTTCTTTGAGATATTATTGTGTCTGGGAGACACAGTTGATGCCCCCGTAGATGCAAAGTGTTATTTTAAAATAACTATAACATTTAACCGCTTATACCCCAAAAATGACAAAGTTCAACTATCTCCCAAAAGAGCAAATATTAATAAAGATCAAAACCCTGACCACATGCACATCTTCAATATATGTACAAACAGACATCAAAGTGAAAACTTCCTAGGATTCTAACTGTAGGAGGAGTTGTGCTGAATAACTATATACCCATAATGGGACGGACGGACAGACAGAAGGACAGACAGGGGTAAAATAATATGCCCCCCAACTTTCAGTTGCGGGGGCATAAAAAGGGGTCAACAGGCCCCAAACTAGACAAAGTTTTGAGAGTGATAAAAAAATCTGGATTAACCATAAATGTAGCTCCATAAGGGCCATAAAGGGGGGACCCAGGCACCCCACTCCTAAATCTGTCTCTAATATTAAACATTGTTTATATGTTTCTGAATATTTTATAAAAAGACTTGAAAGATTATGTTAGAAAACATTTTTATAATGATATTTCGTATAACATTTTTTTTAATGATTTTTTGAGAATATGAAGATTATTAAAACATTTTGTTAAAAAATATTTTTTGAACTTTTTCAAAACATTTTATCCTGCAGAAATGGATTTTTATATGTTTTTAAAATGTTTCAGGTATATTTGATTAACAAACACATTCAAATCATTTATAAGACATTTTACAAACATTGTCGTCAAAATTCAGTAACATTTTAATGATGTTTTAAAAGTATCATGAAAATATTTTTAACGCCATACATTTTTGCATGATTTTAATATTTTTCTACAATATTTTTTCAACATTTTTCTATTTTTGTTTGTGCTAACTGGGAAAGCAGTGGTGAAACAGCACCACTAATAAAATCAATTGCATGTAAATCCATTTCATCATTTATGCATATTTCATAGCCGGATCCGGGGGGCCCGGGTCCCGCTTTTGTGGGAAAAATTTGGTTGATTATATAGGGAATCACTAAAGCATGACTGGAGCGGGCCCCCCTTAGGTCAGCCAGCGCCCCCCCTTTTATGAAACGTTCTGGATCCGTCACTGTATTTATTTACGATGTATTTTTATGAAATTAGAAAGAACACAGCAAACATAGATAATTCTGGAACCAAGTTGAATTAGAGGTTTCCACGTGGAATTACATGTTTCAGATTTTTTATTCCCCTGCCACAGCAGAGGAGGGGCATTAAGTTTTACCCTTGTGTAATTTTTAGACAATACAAGGACTCTTTTAATGTGAATTCGGTTGGACGACACTTTTCTATCACAAACTACTTTCTTCTGATCTAGTTGGAATTTCCCTTTCAGAAAAGTGTGTGTGTTAGTATAAGGAACTGTCTTGGCTAGTAAATAAATCCTGTTCCATAATTCCACTATTTGTCATTTGTTGTCACCTTTGTCAAATTGTTTTTTTACATCTGGCTCTGACAGAAGTATTGATCCTTGCACTTGCAGCCACTTGGATTTTAACCATGAATTCATTTCAAACATAAAGATGTATCCCATCCATCACTTCATGGTTGGGTAAAAAGTCTGTTATCCATGATGGCTTCTGAAATATTAAAACAGGAAACCACAAAGCATCATGTTATTTAATAAACTGCAGGTCCAGAAATTTTTCTTATTATTCATAAAGGACAAGCGTTTAATGCTGGGATGTGTGTGATGTTTTTTTCTCACAAAAATACTCTTGATTTCCAACTTTGAAGAATTAAATAAAATTGTTCTGACAGCTTTTGCCATAAGTTTAATGTAAAGTCCTTTGAAAATTCAGACTTTATTGCGACAAACAAATAAAAAAATTATGCTCATGTGTACCATGGTTTTTTTTAGAATGCTATATAGGGATTGTCATATTTCCCAATACATGTAGTTCTCTTCCTTTCATGCATTGTTTTGTCAGGGAAATATATTTCACTTGCTTTAATTAAGTGCACAACATAATTATTATTTACCTGTCAAATTATTGGGCTGTTTAATCGAGAAAAAATAAAACAAAGAGGTTTAATAATGTACTAAATACAAGAAAAATATAAATACATAATAACCTAATCATGTTGTTATATAATCTCCTGGCATGACATGGTTATCAGCTGGTTATGGCAAACTTGGTCGAATTTTCCGCCGGGTTTCCTTAGATATTTTTGATGGGTGGATCAACTCTCTTGATGCCTTCTCTCCATTTCAAAAGAATTTCATGGTCTATTGGGAATCTGTGGTCCCCCTTCAGAATAATTGCAGCCTGGGACACAACAATTTTGAAGCTTAGTTTGGTGAAATTAGCGAGTGTCGATTGGTTACTAATGTAAACATGTGCAATGTAATGCGATTCAAGCGTCCAAGTGATTAAAACGTTTCCGACAACCACTTATGGAACACCAGCGACGTCTACAGGAAGAAATATTACGAATGATCCCTATTAACCTATAGACAAGCGGCAAGAAGGAAATTTAGACTTCTAATTTACATTCTGCAGAGGATATGCCTAAAGAACTATAGACTATATTATTTTCATACTTTGAACGACATTATTTTATATCTCTACCTGTGTGACGTTTATATCTGACGTCATACGCGCAATTCAACGTTAGAGCAATGTTGATCTGGCCATTCGGTCACAGTGCGTAAAACCTTTCAATCGTAAGTAGGTGGATTTAACATACATAAATAAAATTATAAAATAAGAAAGCAATGAATGAGGTTGTTACATTTGATATATGCCCTTTTTGTGCTTCTTTGTTAAATATTTGTTTGTTTTTATTGGTATTAAGATACTTGTGGTACTTGTACATTCTGTCATTATTGTTTGTGATATTCTCGTATTCTTGTCTTTCATTTTGCTAATGTGCTTTGTCTATATGCCTTTTGGTGTTACTTCCAAAACTTGTTTGTTGCTCGTCTTTCATTTTTGCTATGTGCTTTGTCTATATGCCTTTTTATGTTTCTTCGTTACATATATGACGTGGCTCTGTACTTATACATCCCGTCATTGTGTTATTGTACTATAGTAAATTTGTGTATTCTTGTCTTTGTCAATATAATGGAATTTGATGCGACTGTCATACAAGTGAGAGGATTAGCTAGCTATAAAACCAGGTTCAATCCACCATTTTTTACATAAGAAAATGCCTGTACCAAGTCAGGAATCTGACAGTTGTTATCCATTCGTTTGATGTGTATGAGCATTTGATTTTGCCTTTTGATTAGGGACTTTCCGTTTTGAATTTTCCTCGGAGTTCAGTATTTTTGTGAACTTTCTTTTTAAGGAATGTTGTATTTCTGGTCATGTTCTAGAAACTAGCAAAAACAATATAAGAATCCACCTTACATACATCTGTCTTTGATACTATAATGTTTAAAAGACTTTAAAACCTTTTTTGGTGTATACACGAGTCAGAGGATACCAAATGGACAATTTGATATCAGTATATGGCAACTTAAACTGTTACTCGCAAGAAGACTAATTGTGTTAGGGTCAGACTTATGTGTGAACTGATGACAAACGAAAATAAGGTCTGAAAAAGACAAACTGATATGCTGATATGTTGGATAAAAATCAGCAATTAATTTTGTCGTCCATTCAAAATTAGAATACTTTCAAATCGGGTTATCAGATCAATCACTTCTAATGATATAGAATCTGTATGAAAATGCTGCAACATGTATTAGAAGAAACTGACTGATTTCTGAATATTTCTTAGCATATCAAGCAAGATGTCAAGGCTGATTTATATAAAGTGTTTGTAAACTCTTTACAAATATGGTGTAAAGCTAAAAAGATTGTCAAGACCAAGATACACCACTTGTGTTATCTTAACTGAATTGAAAGGACCAGCTTAATCATCTTAAACATCTCTGTATAGATGCACGGCCTTGAATATAGAAAACAAAGTGTTTCCTTTATTAAATCTTGTTTTTATGTCACACTCATCCCCATTGTTGGACGCTGTATTGACCGGTACGAAATATTGAGTGTTGATTTTAATCCTAGACATGTTGATATTATTAACCTTTTTATTATATTCTAATTTACTCTTAATTCAATATTCACTATTCTTACACTTTTGCGATATACAGTTCCGTTCAATAAGTCTTACATGCATACAAAATTATATAAAAAAAATTATATATCCTAAATACATCACATTTACGCCAATTTCGCTTTCATGCAAAAAAAAAAAACCCATAGTAGATTAAACCTGCCTTTTTAG